TGTGAGTGTTATAGTGTGAGTGTGTGTGTGTGTGTGTGTGTGTGCGTGTGCATGTGCTCTGCTTCTGTTTGTCGGTGATGGGCTTTCTGTCATGCGTTCCTGTGTTTGTGTTCACGCGTGTGCATGCGGATCAGAGCCTCACTGTGGGTCGTCTTGTGTTTGTTGTATGTTTGGTTGTCTCGTGCTTGTTTGTCTGCTGAACACAAACGCTCACTGTCTGTGAACTAGTTAGTGATGTTCAAGCAGGTCAGAAGTGAAGCTCAGAATGTGAGTAAACTGGCCTGATACTCATCTCTTATCTAACATCAGATGCTGTTTCACTCCGTCTGCTTTAATATGAGTTACTTGAAGCGAGGACGTGCTGTGTGTTTTATGTGGTTTGGACAAATCTGCCCTCATAAGGGTAAAACATGCATCTGCGGATGCGCTCCGGTGGACAGAGTTAATTCTGTGGCTGTAGTTTCACAAGCTAAAAAAAAAAGCTGAGACTCGTCTGAGGACGAATCCCTCCTCATTTCAGATGTTGGTTTTCTCTGTAGAACCAGCGGGACCCTCGACTCAACGAGATCCTCTTCCCCTTCTATGAAGCCAAACGGGTCATGCAGATCATTGAGAAGTACGAGAGAGACGCCGACTTGAAAAAGAAAGGTAAATGGAGGAGGTGTGATGAGTGTGTAATGAAACGCTCTCAGCTGATCCTCTGCTGCCCTCTGGTGGCCCGGCGGAGTCAGCACTGGGTTTGATTGACTTTAGTCATTTCCAGGTCTGGATATGTACGGAAACAAAGGAGACAGAGTTCTGTTTCTAAAAATATAACATTGATCATTTTTTAAAAAACACTATAAAGTATGTAGTTACAATATTCCAATTATTATAACATTCATAGTCAGAAAGTAACATGCATGTTATCAATGTTTTTACACAGTTTATCAGATGTTAAAAGAATAGTTCACCCCCAAAAAAGATAAAAATTCAGCTAAAATTATCTTTAGAGTTCTGAAGAAAGTCATCTACATCTTGGATGGCCTGAGAATGAGTACGTTAACAACAAATGCTTTCAAATGGGTTTTAAAAAGTCTTAATTCACTCTTCCACAAGTTAAGGCCTTAATAAGCTCTTAAATCAAAGCAGAAAGTCATAAATTCATAAAGTTGTGTCATTAAATGTTGCACACACTACAAAAACTGAATCTCTTCCTCAGTATTTTTGTATTGTTTTCTAGTACAAATATCTAGACATCCATAAACCAAGACACATTTACTGCAGATGCAGAATGAAGATATGAAGCCTTGTTTTCTGAGAAACTGATCAAAATGAAGAGCGTTTCTGCTTAAAACAAGAACAGATATCTGTCAGTGGGGAATTAAAACTAGTTTTTTTCCTTTGAATTGAGTTGATTTTTTAAAGTTTGTTTTAATCATAATTCATAAATCATAACGTTTGTTTTAATTCTATGTTAAGTAAACAGAACACAAGACTTCATGTCTTCATTTAGCTTCTCAAGTAAATGTATCTTGATTTAAGGATGTTTAGAGATTCACTTTTTTGTCAAAAATGAATTGAAAAGTAATGGAGATCTGTCAGAAGTTGTATTTTTAAAAGTGTTGCTGATACAAGACACTGATGTGTCCCTGCAGCACAAAAGCAGTGTTGAGTCGCTGGGGGATATTTGTAGCAATAGCCAACAATACATTGTATGGGTCACAATTATACATTTCTCTTTTATGCCAAAAATCATTAGGTTATTAAGTAAAGATCATGTTCCATGAAGATATTTAGTAAATCTCCTACCGTAAATATATCAAAACTTAATGTTTGATTAGTAATATGCATTGCTAAGAACTTCATTTGAACAACTTTAAAGATGATTTTCTCAATATTTAGATTTTTTTGCACCCTCAGATTTTCAAATAGTTGTATCTCGGCCAAATATTGTCATTCACTCAATTAAAAATAAATAAATTAAAGTTTATGGTCCAGGGTCACATTTTTGTTTCGTATTTGTTTCAATTCAGTTCATTCCTTAATTTTCTTTACTTGGTCTTAAAAAGGTCTCAAAAAATCTTAAATGCACCTTCATAAAGCCTGCAGAAATCCTGTTTGAAAAATCTCCAGAGCAGTCTGAGGATCTGTAACCGAGGGAGAGTTTATGGAGTTCTCACCTGATCATCTTGTCTTCAGGTCACATGTCCAGCGACGGCTTCTGCCGCTACCTGATGTCGGACGAGAACGCGCCGGTGTTTCTGGACCGTCTGGATCTGTGTCAGGAGATGGAGCATCCGCTGGCTCATTACTTCATCAGCTCCTCACACAACACCTACCTGACGGGCCGGCAGTTCGGCGGGAAGTCCTCGGTGGAGATGTACCGACAGGTGCTGCTGTCCGGATGCAGGTATGCCTTCATCATCATCTTATCCTGAACGTGTCTGTGAAGAAATGACTAAACACGCTCTGCTCCCGTCAGAGACGGCATCACGTCAGAAGTGCGTCTGCATGTGTTGCACTGATGAAACGACACACCTGTATCTCAATACTATACTTCTCACTTTAAACCGGCCATGACATGGATTTTTTTATTATTTTAATATGTTCCTTGAGGTGTACTTATAATGTTAATAAAGTTTTTTGCACAAAAAAACAAATATGTGGAAGAATGATTCGATTTTTAATCAGATTTTGTTGATTAATTAGAATTGAATGTTTTGCCACGATTTTATTTTTTAGAAATCGAGGAATCACTATTTTGAATAGAAATGTTACCAAATGTTACCAAACGTTAGATTTAGACACATACATATACTATAAATAGTTGACTATACATATACATAACCTAAGAGAGACTATACAAGTACTTAACATAATAACTGTACATGATATTGTGCAAAAGAGGTATTTAAGGTTAAGAAGCAAATCGTGCAATATGATTATTGGTATACATTTGTGTTATCTTATTAAGTCCTTGTAACATGGAGTGTTTATAAGCAAGTGTCTGGTGCATTTAGAGAGAAAAGAGTGTGTTTCTACAGGTGGTTTGTCCAGCCCACTCACCTGTGTGTAGCACACTCAGAGTTGCACAATGTTTTTGAGGTTTTCAACAGTTTTCACGTGGTGCATGTGGTGTGGTGGGATGAGGGGGAGAGAGGATCTTGGCTTCAGGAGCTAGGGTTGTGGATGGGGTTTCAGAGGGGGGTGAGGTGATTGGATTTGAGGGCTCTCACAGCCTGGGGAAAAAAAGCTGTTGAGCAGTCTTGCAGAGCAGACTCTGATGCTCCGGTACCGTCTTCCTGATGGCAAGAGCTGGAAGAGACTGTGGGAGGGATGGGTGGGGTCCTTCACGATACTGGTGGCTTTACTGGAGCATCGTGCAAGGAAAATGTTCAGGATGGAGGGGAGAGGGGCACCGATGATCTTTGCAGCTGTGTTCACTGTCCGCTGTAGGGTCTTGCGGTCAGCAGCACTGCAGTTCCCATACCAGACAGTGATGCAGCTGGTCAGCACGCTCTCAATGGTTCCCCTGTAGAATGTGGTGAGGATGGGTGGAGGGAGACTTGCTCTTTTAAGTCAGCGCAGGAAGTGGAGCCACTGTTGCGCCTTCTTGGAGAGTGATGTAGTGTTGGTGGTCCAGGTGAGGTCTTCTGTTATTTGCACTCCAAGGAATCCAGTCGAGCTGTCGATGGTCAGTGGGGGGTGGTCAACAGAGTTCCTCCTGAAGTCCATCACAACCTCCTTTGTCTTACTCGCATTGAGGGACAGGTTATTTGCACCACACCATTCAACCAGTTGTGCCACTTCCTCTCTGTAGGGTGTTTCCTCATTGTTGCTGATGAAACCTACCACAGTTGTGTCATCAGCAAACTTGATGATGTGGTTGGAGCTGAACTTGGCAGTGCAGTCGTGGGTCAGCAGCGTGAAGAGCAGCGGGCTGAGCACACAGCCCTGTGGGACACCTGTGCTCAGTGTGGTAGTGCTCGAGATGTTGTGGCCGACACGGACTGACTGAGGTCTTCCGGTTAGAAAGTCCAGGATCCAATTACAGAGGGAGGTGTTTTGGCCCAGCAGGTTTACATTTACATACATTTACATTTAATCATTTAGCAGATGCTTTTATCCAAAGCGACTTACAAATGAGGAGAAAAATAGAAGCAATCAGACGATCAGCAATTAGTCTAGCACAGTACACATAACTAGTTTTTTTAGATGGAGAAGAGAAGAGGTTCAAGCACTGAGCCTTGAGGAACCCCAGTAGCAAGAAGTTGTGACTTAGAAACCTCACCCCTCCAAGACACCCTGAAGGACCTATCTGAGAGCTAAGACTTGAACCAAGACTTGGTTTAGTTTGTTGATGAGTTGTTGTGGGATTATTGTGTTGAATGCTGAGCTGAAGTCGATGAACAGCATTCTAACATAGGAGTCTTTATTTTCTAGGTGGGTGAGAGCCGGGTGGAGGAAATTGTATCGTCCGTAGAGCGGTTTGGACGGTATGCAAACTGGAGCGGATCGAGTGTGTTGATGAGGCTGGTTTTGATGTGCATGACTAACCTCTCTAAGCACTTCATGATTGGAGTCAGTGCTATGGGGATGGTAGAAATTTAGACAGGACGGAGGTGATTTCTTTGGTACCGGTATGATTGTTGTGGATTTGAGACATGTGGGGACGACTGCCTGGCTCAGGGGGGGGTTAAAGATATCTGTTAGGACATCTGTCAGCTGTGCAACACAGTCTCTCAGTACACGGCCAGGTATGTTGTCAGGACCCCGCAGCCTTGCGTGGGTAAATCCTAGATAGGGTCTTCCTTACGTCGACTGGAGACAGACAGAGCGCCTGGTGTGGGCAGTTTTTGTGCAGGTGTGTCATTCTGCATTTCAAACCGTGAATAAAAGTGTTTGAGTGCATCTGGGAGGGATCTGTCATCATCACAGACCTGTGGCGGGGGCTTGTAGTCAGTGATGGTCTGAATGGCTTGCTACAGGCTCCATGTGTCTCTGCGGTCTGTGAAGTGATTATTGATTTTTTGTGTATATGACCTTTTCGCATTCTTGATGCCACAGGACAGATTGGCTTTTGCTGTTTTGAGGGATGCTTTATCTCCTGATCTGAATGCATCATCTCGGGTCTTTAGCAGCCCACAAACCTCTGCTGTCATCCACGGCTTCTGGTTTTCACGTGTGGTGATGGTCTTGTTGCCTGTCATATCATCAATGCACTTTTTTCTTTACATAGAAAAAGCAATGGAAAAGCAGCACAAGTGAATAAAGAACCTGTAACTATTACTGTGCGTCTGATATTTCATGTTTGCATCACGCTGTCAGACTGAAAGCTGCTGTTGTTTTACAGAACATTTAGAGTTAATAATACTCTACTGCTGTTATGCCTTCAGTCATTTTGAATTTGAATTACCGTGACTTTTGAGATTTTTTAAAAGCATTTTCCTCATATTATTTCTGAACATATAATATGTAGGTGTGTGGAGCTGGACTGCTGGGATGGTAAAGGTGAGGATCAGGAGCCCATCATCACTCATGGGAAGGCCATGTGCACCGACATCTTGTTCAAGGTGAGCGCAAATCAAACGTCACTCACATCACTGCAGCTGTGCACAGATCCCAATGCATGCTTTAGATTCAAATAGCAAAAACAGACAAATGTTATTTGACGTTATTAGTCAATATGCAAATAAAAGTGCCTCATTCAATCAGAGTCTGAACTCTGTTTTCAGTTTATTCATAATTTTTTTCACTGATTCGTTCATTTGATGTGAGTAATCTGATCACTTTCTCCAGACTCAAATCAAAAGATCAGAAGCAGCTTTCATCAGTGTATTCAGGTCTTGACATTAACTTTTTTGCTCACCAGCCAATGTGCCTAGTGTTTTTTTTTATTATTATGCACTCAGGATTTTCACTGGCCACAATTTTGTAGAGGGGAAATTAGGTTTTATGACTTAAGTTACTGCATACTAATATTTACTTAAATTGATTTCCAGGTCATTTTTGCCTATAACCTTATTAAATGCATGTCATCTTTCATAGCAAATTTTTACATTTTATTAATAATTTTGGTTATTATAAAAAGACACTATAGGGCTGTTACCAATCAAATGAAATCAGTATTAAATCGATCTTTCAACTGCAGAATAAACAGAAGCAGCTGACGTTAAAGGCATTTAGATGCACAGACAGTTACTCAGATTACACGGACAGTTTAATGATGCTGAAATGCATTAACAATGCAAAATTACAACTGCATAAATGTTATGAGCTTAGTGTTTTACATCAGCTTTTTAATATACAAATTTGAAATGTTAGGGAAAAAATGCAATGATAGGCTACTTTTAAATATGAAAGTAAACCGCCAGTAGGTGGCAGCACGTGTCTGTCTTAATGAGTGAGTGATTGAGTCATTCATTTAAATGATTAGTTCAGACGGATGATACATTCAAGAATATGAAGCAAGTGCCTGTCTTTATGGATGGGTTATTGAATCATTGACTCGCCCAATTAATTCAAAAATGCTGAATCATTCAGTAACGAAACATCGCTGCGTTGCTCAGAGATGCGCGACAGTGCTGTGATCTTTGTTTGGAACTGTTTTTGTTATCCAAATTGAGCAAAAACAGTCAACATTGTGTCTAAAATGTAAGTCACTTAACATTATCTACTCGTTTGATCTCTTGCATAAAACAAATGTCAAATATCAAAAACTGCCTTTTTACCACAGCATGTTTTTTTCTGTTTGCAGCTGTTGTTCCTTCAAAAAAGCACTTGTTCCCGGACAAGCATTAATGTTGAGCTCTGTTACTGTGTATAAACCCGCCAAAGTGGCTAGCTAGTGTTACATGCCACTGATGAAATTTACCCACATTTGGCGGGTTGGCTGGTGTTAATGTCAAGCCCTGAGTGTATTCATTTTTCCAGGCCTCTTTATTTCAAATAAATAAACCATTTTTAATTGAATTTCCAGGAAATGATAACTGTATCACCATTCCAGTCTTTTCTGTTATAATGGTAATTTGACATATGAAACCCTGGAGCACAAAACCAGTCATAAGGGTCAATCTTTTGAAATTGAGATTTATACACCATCGAAAGCTGAATAAATAAGCTGTCCATTGATGTATGGTTTGTTAGGATCAGACAATATTTGGCTGAGATACAACTATCTGAAAATCTGGAATCTGAGGGTGCAAAAAAATCTAAATATTGAGAAAATCATCTTTAAAGTTGTCCAAATGAAGTTCTTAGCAATGCATATTACTAATCAAACATTAAGTTCTGATATATTTACGGTAGGAGATTTACAAAATATCTTCATGGAACATGATCTTTACTTAATATCCTTATGATTTTTGGCATAAAAGAGAAATGTATAATTATGACCCATACAATGTATTGTTGGTTATTGCTACAAATATCCCCCAGCGACTTAACACTGCTTTTGTGCTGCAGGGACACATATTATTCTGCTTGTCTTGTGTCTATTGTTTGTTTGTGTAACAGGATGTAATTCAAGCCATAAAGGAAACAGCGTTTGTAACGTCTGAATATCCTGTCATTCTGTCGTTTGAGAACCACTGCAGGTAAAACGCGCCACATGTCCGCTCTCAGCTTCGTGTTGGTCTGTGGCGGCGCTCACAGCTGCGTGTGTGTGTGTGTGTGTGTTGCAGTAAAACGCAGCAGTATAAGATGGCCAAGTACTGCGAGGAGATCTTCGGAGAGCTGTTGCTGAAGCAGCCGCTGGAGGGATTCCCAGTACGTGATCTATTCCCCCGCACACAGATCCAGACCTTCATGGAAAATGTAGTCCAGTGAAGCATCTCCTCATTTCTCATGGGTGTTTACAGGCGCCACGCAGGAGTTTCTGTGCTCACGGAGGACTGTGCTTGTGTTTCAGATTGAAGCCGGCCAGCCGCTGCCATCGCCCAGCGACCTCAAGCGCAAAATACTCATCAAGAACAAGCGCTTGAAGCCTGAAGTGGAGCAGAGTACGTACATGTGCGAACACGTCTGAGTCTGTGGCTTGTGCTGAGAATATCTCCCGTTACACAGGGTTGATATAAAGATTATAATTTTGAAATCCACTGTAATGGTAAAAGAAACAAATGTTTTAAATAAGAGCTGAAATAGCAATATATCTTATCAAATATGACCCTGCAGCACAAAAGCAGTGTTAAGTCGCTGGGGGATATTTGTAGCAATAGCCAACAATACATTGTATGGGTCAAAAGGTCAAAATTCTCTTTTATGCCAAAAATCATTAGGATATTAAGTAAAGATCATGTTCCATGAAGATATTTAGTAAATATATAAATATATTCTAAATATATCAAAACTTAATGTTTGATTAGTAATATGCATTGCTAAGAACTTCATTTGAACAACTTTAAAGATGATTTTCTCAATATTTAGATTTTTTTGCACCCTCAGATTCCAGATTTTCAAATATTGTCCTATCCTAACAAACCACACATCAATGGAAAGCTTATTTATTCAGCTTCAGATGATGCATACATCTTAATTTCACATAAGTGACTGGTTTTGTGCTCCAGGGTCACAAATGATGATTATTAAATTGAAGGCTGTTTTAAATCTGCGTGTTTGACAGTGAAGCGAGTCACTGTGTTCATTTACACGTGTGCAGCTGATAACAGTGTGTTTTCACAGTAAACGCTGCTTCTCATGAACTCACGCTGTGAGTTTAATGTGCTTTTGAGAATGTACTTTAGTGAATGTTTGTCTCAGCAGCAGCGATGTACAATGTCATATTGCAGTTCAGATCGCAATATATGACCAAATAATCGCAATAATCGTCGTGCAGCCCGCTGATTATTTAGCACTGCGTTACTGATGCTGATGATGTCATCGTGATATTTGCATACCGGACCGTGATTGGTCTTTTCTCTTCGTCTGTATTTATATCAGATATATTTGCTCCTTTCTAGGTCTCATTTTTAAATGATCTGCTCTGGAAACATTTTTCTTTTTTAAAATTATAATCAGCATTAATAAGTTGCAGTACAACAGATACCGTACAGCCTTGATAAATATATGTCAGAGTTTAAATAATGTCATTGTGTCTTTTCGCTTAACATCCTTAAAACGCAGCAGTATAAGATGGCCAAGTACTGCGAGGAGATCTTCGGAGAGCTGTTGCTGAAGCAGCCGCTGGAGGGATTCCCAGTACGTGATCTATTCCCCCGCACACAGATCCAGACCTTCATGGAAAATGTAGTCCAGTGAAGCATCTCCTCATTTCTCATGGGTGTTTACAGGCGCCACGCAGGAGTTTCTGTGCTCACGGAGGACTGTGCTTGTGTTTCAGATTGAAGCCGGCCAGCCGCTGCCATCGCCCAGCGACCTCAAGCGCAAAATACTCATCAAGAACAAGCGCTTGAAGCCTGAAGTGGAGCAGAGTACGTACATGTGCGAACACGTCTGAGTCTGTGGCTTGTGCTGAGAATATCTCCCGTTACACAGGGTTGATATAAAGATTATAATTTTGAAATCCACTGTAATGGTAAAAGAAACAAATGTTTTAAATAAGAGCTGAAATAGCAATATATCTTATCAAATATGACCCTGCAGCACAAAAGCAGTGTTAAGTCGCTGGGGGATATTTGTAGCAATAGCCAACAATACATTGTATGGGTCAAAATTATACATTTCTCTTTTATGCCAAAAATCATTAGGATATTAAGTAAAGATCATGTTCCATGAAGATATTTAGTAAATATATTCTCCTACCGTAAATATATCAAAACTTAATGTTTGATTAGTAATATGCATTGCTAAGAACTTCATTTGAACAACTTTAAAGATGATTTTCTCAATATTTAGATTTTTTTGCACCCTCAGATTCCAGATTTTCAAATATTGTCCTATCCTAACAAACCACACATCAATGGAAAGCTTATTTATTCAGCTTCAGATGATGCATACATCTTAATTTCACATAAGTGACTGGTTTTGTGCTCCAGGGTCACAAATGATGATTATTAAATTGAAGGCTGTTTTAAATCTGCGTGTTTGACAGTGAAGCGAGTCACTGTGTTCATTTACACGTGTGCAGCTGATAACAGTGTGTTTTCACAGTAAACGCTGCTTCTCATGAACTCACGCTGTGAGTTTAATGTGCTTTTGAGAATGTACTTTAGTGAATGTTTGTCTCAGCAGCAGCGATGTACAATGTCATATTGCAGTTCAGATCGCAATATATGACCAAATAATCGCAATAATCGTCGTGCAGCCCGCTGATTATTTAGCACTGCGTTACTGATGCTGATGATGTCATCGTGATATTTGCATACCGGACCGTGATTGGTCTTTTCTCTTCGTCTGTATTTATATCAGATATATTTGCTCCTTTCTAGGTCTCATTTTTAAATGATCTGCTCTGGAAACATTTTTCTTTTTTAAAATTATAATCAGCATTAATAAGTTGCAGTACAACAGATACCGTACAGCCTTGATAAATATATGTCAGAGTTTAAATAATGTCATTGTGTCTTTTCGCTTAACATCCTTTGTTAAACATAATTGAAACTGTTGAGTGTGACTGTCATGAATGACTGATTAGTGTGTGTGTGTGTGTGTGTGTTACAGAGCAGCTGGAGTCGTTTAAGAAGCACATGGAGGCTGGAGAGATGAGCATACAGACTGGAGAAGATGAGAACGATGAAGATCTGGACAGCGGTAAACACACACACACACTCTCTCTCTCTCACACACACACACACATAAACAAGGGCTGCACGATAAATCGCATGCGCACCACGTTCATCGCACCACGTTCATATTCGCGCGATTTTTTGCGCAGCTCGTCAGTGAACAACGGCTCTGTGTAGTTAATGCTGCTCAATGTGAAAGCACGCACATGATGGAGATTTACCGCTGATTACAGAACCGGCTTTACTGATAAGATGCGCGTTAAATATCGCATGCGATTTATCGTGCAGCCCTAACATAAACACAGAGAAAGAAACACACAGACAAAGACAGAAACACACTCACACGCAGGAAGCTGATCTCTCTCTCTCTCTGTGTGTGTGTGTGTGTGTGTGTGTTTCTGTCTCTGTCTGTGTGTGTGTGTGTGTTTCTGTCTGTGTGTGTGTGTGTGTGTTTCTGTCTCTGTGTTTATGTGTGTGTGTGTGTGTGTGTGTGTGTGTGTGCGCGCGTGTGTGTGTGTGCAGCGCTGGACGGTAAAGAGCTGAACTCAGACCTGAAGAGCAGCAACACTGTGGCTCTGTCGGAGGATCTGGATGCAGAAGCTCAGGACAGCAGCAGGAAGAAGGTGAGCGGCGCAGGAGGAGCGTGTGTGTGTGTGTGTGTGTGAGTGTGTGTGTGTGTGTGTGTGTGAGTGTGTGTGAGTGTGTGTGAGTGTGTGAGTGTGTGTGAGTGTGTGTGAGTGTGTGAGTGTGTGTGAGTGTGTGTGAGTGTGTGAGTGTGTGTGAGTGTGTGTGAGTGTGTGAGTGTGTGTGAGTGTGTGTGAGTGTGTGAGTGTGTGTGAGTGTGTGTGAGTGTGTGTGAGTGTGTGTGTGTGTGTGTGTGTGTGTGTGTATGAGTGTGTGTGTGTGTGTGTGTGTGTGAGTGTGTAGCTCTGCTCCTCACATCACTCTGTGTTTCAGATCCCAGACGATGACGTCACTGAGATCTCAGAAGCCACTGAAATCACGGACGCCACCGACGTGTCAGAAGTGTTGGAGCTGGAGAACAAGAAGAAGGTGCGAGTGCTGTTAGATTGACAGAAGGAGCTGCAGCTGCTGATGTGACTGAGCGTGACGCTGTGTTTCTTCATCAGAGCGGGGAAACGGCTGAAGACGCTGACGCCGAGCAGCAGCTCATTGCCTCATATAAGTATGAAGGAGCCACGACCAACATCCACCCGTACCTGTCAGCCATGGTCAACTACGCTCAGCCCGTCAAGTTCCAGAGCTTCGAGGTCGCTGAGGGTCAGTCCAGCGGCCGCAAACGTCACGATCACTACTAGAGAGACACCATGAAAAGGAAGCTAATAATAAAAAATAATACAAACAGGGTCAGAAACACACTGATACAGTCTGTCACATACACACATTTATTCACTGTTTGGACCAGTGTTGGGGAAAGTTACTTTTAAAGGGGCTATTATGCTCTTTTACAAAGTCTTGAATTTGTTTTGGGGTGTACTAGAACATGCTCTCATGCTTGCTGGTTCGAAAAACGCATTATGTATCACATAATTTACATTATTACAATACCTTTCTCCCCAGCCTGGCACAAATGGCTCGATTAGTTCCGGCTTTGATGAAGGTCCGCCTTCCGAAAAACTAAATGTGTTGTGATTGGTTAGCTGTCCCAGTGCGTTGTGATTGGACGGTGTTTCAGTACTGCCCCGCCTCTTGCTCCGTCTTTCAACAAAAGCTTTTGGAATCCGGGACTACTCACTCGTGATGTGAAAGCTGTCCTCAGTAAAATGCGCAGCACACAATAGCAAATTGGGGTTATAATGCTCAGGAACAGAGTTAAAAAGTAAATTGCAACCACTGTTTCCGGACATCATCCGCTTTCGGAAGTGAAAAAAAACTGCGTTTCAGGCGGTCGCGCACCGGAGGAGAAGCGGAGCGTCGCGCCATGTCTTTAAAATTCAAATACATTATTTTCTATGAGTGTAGGCACACCGGCGGCGCCGTTCGGCGTCT